TGACACAGGGTGCGCTTGAATTGCTGCTCGATCTTTGATGTGGTTGCTTTTGACCCGCGAGCCAACACGGCCGCTGTGCAAAGCCATCAAGCCGACGACCTACTCAACTTGGGCAAGCTGTTGGTATCTCTTGCGTGCAACTCGATGGGCGCAGTGCAAAATCTGCCCAAATCACTCGAGTCGATTTCTAGGCTCTACAGCGCGGATTTCAAGAACGTTGTGCTGTGGCTAGTAGGGAAGCCTTCACCAGGCAAGACGGCCGACGAGCTTGGCCGGATGCTAGGCAGTCACATTGCCGACGAAGTAGATTCTGCCCTCAACTATGCTGACCTCTTGGAGAGCGGATTGTCAAAGGAGTTGGAGAATGCACGCTTGGTCAGACTGCTGTGCAAATTTGGTTTCATAAATGAGCGCCCAGAGTGAGTGTATGGTGTCAAGGGTTTGGTCTCTGCTTTTGCTGAGCTTCCTCCTGCGCGATGCCAGATTCGACCACGACCCCCGTTGGTCGGAGACGGGAGACCGCTACGTCATCAAGTTGTTCCGCGACCACGTGTTCCACGCGGTCGACGAAACCGGACGGCCTCTTGTCGACTTGAGTCACATTCTGAGCAACCTCAATAAGCTAGACGCTGGCTCAGAGGAGCGCGTCATGCTGACTAGCCGCGACGCCCAGAGCTGTCTCGTTGTCAGCTACCGAGAGGTGAGCGAGGGAAGAATCGATTCGATGAGCGATGCCTCTGCGAGTGCTCACGCCGTGCACATGATTGCAGATCAAGAATTGCGTGGAGGCTGCATTTCAGGATCTTTCGCGGGCACGATGAGTGGAGGGCAGCCTAAAGCTCTCGCTCCCGCATCGCTTGACATGCAAGCCATCGCGGTCCATGCGGTCAAAAAGCGCCCAATGATGCCGGAACGGCTCGAGCACGTAGAGCTGTTCATCTGTCCTGGCACCAACACACCGTTCCAAGGCCTGCAGGTCTTGGTAGAAGCCATGTAGGTCCGAGTGTGCTTTTAGAATTATAGTCAAAAGTCATCTTCCCACTCAGCGCTACATTGCGCTGGTCCTACAATCTCCCCCTCGTCTTTTGTCATACAGTATTTCACCTGTACTTCACTTGCAGTTTAGGAATGCCCTCGTACGACGACATTCATCCATCCATCCATCGCAAACCCTTGGTGCGCATCCATCTCTGGATGCTTGCCTATTCCATGCATGCACGCAGTGAGAACGCTGCTTCACGTACAGCAGTAGTAGTGTAGTAGTAGTAGATACATTGAAGATTCTTATTTCGCTAGGGTAGGTGCAGAGACGATTGCCCACGCGTGCATTAGACGCGCGTGGTGCTCACCATCGATATCCTCAGCGCGCACGAGCTGCGGGTGGGCGTAAGCTGCGCCGCCATCATGGATATGCC